GATCACTTGGGTTGTCACCAACATCTGGTGAACATTTCATGTCATTAGCACCTCTAGTAATATATTTACTGAGAAAAATGGTGACGTGTTCAATACTTATTTTACCCGCTGTATGGTGTTTAGGATTAATAAAAATAAGTTTATATGTCTAGCAGCAAATGTAACAAACAGTTCTGTTTGTTTTTATGATTTTATGAGATTAAGCCTCAGTTAATTCCCAGTGTGTTTGATTTTTCCTGCTGTGTCATAACCTGACCCACGCTGCCAGGGACTTTGAATATTAAAAATAAGCTGTTTAAATGATTCGATTGGTTGTCTTCTTTTGGTTGACACCTCTCTTGACCAATTGGGTTCATCTATAGAGTCCAGAAAGCAAAATGTGTGACAAGCCCCTCATGTCCCTCCTGTCTGCGGTAATCAACCAATCAGCTCTGAGCTTCATTCTGACCCCACAGCTTTGTAGCCAGTCAAGATACCTTTTATTCGATGTGCAGTTTTGGAAATAAGAAGTGGTTATAGTGTATTTTAACTTCAATAACTAAATAGTTACAGTTACAAAAAATATGAATGCAGAACATTTTAGATTAATAGCTTTACATAGAGACTAGGCTTGTGAATTTACTGCACAGGGTTCAAGAGCAGTACTTCATTTAATTTGGGTTAGACGTGCAGGTGAACAGGTTAGTAAAAAAAATGTAATCAAAACAATTTTATGCAATTTAGGGATGTTTTACACAGACACGTGTGTTGAACGCAACATGTGGTGTTTCTATGTCCTTACCTGCAGGAGCTCAACTTGCTGTTTGATTGTGTTCAACAGATGTGGATCTAAAAACAGAACGTACCAGTTCTCCATCTTTAAAGGGTCTGAATTCCTTCAAACACTGATAGTCTTACCTGAACGGTTGATGAGGGAAATGTTCAAGCTGGTCCTCGAGACGGATTCATCATTGAGAGCCAGAAACAGACTTTTTCTATCATCCAGTTAAACCTTGTCTGTTTTTCTCTTTTCTTTAAGTCTCAATTTTACTCAATTTTACCACTTTAAAGAAAGTGTGAATTTGACCTATTCAATACCTCTCATCTCCTCCACACACATACATCCTGTCTATTCCTCTCCTCTCCAGAGCACACCTCCACCTCTCCACACTCTCTTCCACCTCCTCCAGCTACAACCTGGGCTTCTATAGTTACCAAACAGACCCCCTCCCAAAAAAATAAAAATAAAAATTAATAAAAATAAAACGGACCCACGACATCAGCAGCTGAATTTAATAAATGACAAGTTTATTGTTGCACAAAATATACAAAATAACAAGCAAATGGAGAGCCCCCCCACAACCTCCCCCACCCCCCACCGTCACTCCTGGTTCATTCGCCTCAATGAAGCTGAATTTCTGAAAACCTATGACTACGGCAAGTCTGATGGTCCAAGCCAAAACGCATGGGAACTCTGAGAGACAAACACATACCAAAATTCAGCGTCACCGAACAGTTAAAAATGAATAAAAACACCTTATTTACACATTTCTGTCAGAACTTTTACAACATGCCATCTATGCATTTCTACAGAATATGTTTGTGCACATATCCCTGTATAGAAAATATATTATAAATTAAATTAGACTAAGGTCTATAGACATCCAAAGTACAGCACTTTTTTTAAGCTCTTCTTTTTTTAAGTTTTGGGGATTTTTTTTCCCGACTTTTTAAACGACGTCCTCAGTTTCATACTAAAAGAAAGAATTCTAGCTGGATGCAGGTGTTGATGTTTTGTTTGTTTTTGTTTCCTCAAGCGGACCACGTGGACCAGAGAAGCCTCGCATATTTACACCGGAGCCCTCAGATCTGTCTCCAAAAGGCCTGCGCGTTTTAAATCTGTCCGACTCGTCTGTCACGTCTTTTTTTATGAAAAGATGATCAGTGATGGCATCACAGCACCGCACAACTCAGCTGTGGCCTTAGTTGATGATGTCATAAGAGTGTAAACCAATCAGCTTTGGCACTGGGTTAAGAAGTGTGCTGTAGTTTCCCCACACGACGATGCTCTAATTTGGGCTTTTCCTTTTATCTGATAGGGATTTCAAAATAAAACGAGTTAGGCCCTTTGAGAAAACAAACATTTTGTCTCAGTCAGATGGAATCTAAGAAGCCCGCGGCGAGATATCTGAACCACGTTAGCACCATGAAAAAAGTAAAGTCAGAAAATTTACTTAAAGATGCGCTGAAACGTCAGAGCACAATGCATCATAGGTAGATCTTGTGCGAAGAGGCGGGGTAAGAAAACAAATCCAGTTGGATGAGTGGGACGGGTGTAAACGGAGGATCGTGACCCCCCCAGCAGCTGCACTGATGCAGAAAAGAAAAGTGACACAGGAGGAAGCAAATCTCCGGAGTGACTCCATCACATTGCTTCATGACTCAGCAGGGCGTGGCCATCAGTGCAACTGATGGGGCGGGGCTGAGGTTTTGGGATAAAACTCCAGGAAAGTAAGAGATTTTTTTTCTTGTTTTTCAAAGTGTGTGCAAAAATACTCGTCAGTCTACAGCTGGAACACTTTTTTTTTCATATATTTTGGTTTTGACCTTTTCAATATAGCTTCCTCTTTAATCCTACCTACTGTTAATCTGCGGCTTGTGTTTCACATCTTTTAATATATATTTATATCTTCGATTCTGGCTTTTCTTTTTCTTACTTTACAAAATGAGAGACAGAATGATGGACAGCTGATAATATATAGAATTAAATTCCTCTTCTTGTCGTCGGCAGGTGGCTCGCCAGCCTGCAGGTGATTTTCTTCGCTCTTTGTAAACAAACAGGGTTATATTTAATTTTTTTCCAGCCACCGATGTCTGTTTCTTCTTCATGCCCCGCCTCCTTTCACTGCAGGAGAGCCCTGATTTGTTTGGAGGTGCTGTCATCGTTTAAATGTCGTGTTGTATACCTGAAGGGGGGTGAAGCAGAGGAATTAAAACATCGCAGGTTATTTTATCATTTGTTTTTGTTCAGCATCTCTGTGTGTTTGTTTTATACCCACCTCAGTGCATTCAGAAGGCCCTCCACGCTGTTGGACGGTTGCTCTTTCAGCACTTTGATGCAGCCCTTCATCTGCAGAACATTAGAGGACGACAGGAAAAGGTCAGCAAGCTCAGATCAGCTGATAGATTTTAAAGGGACATGGATCTCTGCTGGAATTTTGGCATTTTTTATATTTATCGCCTGCTGCCGAAAACCAACTTTGTCTGTTAGCAAAATATCTCATAAATCACTGACTGGATTTTGATTAAACTTTCCTCTAATAATCAATAGATGCACCTCTACAGCTGATTAACTTTTGGAGTGAACCTGATTCAAGATGGCTGCCACAGCTAAGCAACCTTACCAAAAACAACAGTGGCTATAACTCAGTCAGTTTTACAGATACTAAACTAAAACTGGGTGTGATAGTAGCTGAGAGTCACCCCAACACACACTTTGAGCACTAAATGTTGTGCAACATATTTTCCTTAGACTTTGCCATTAGTTGTTGGTTAACCCTGTATGTCTGTTAGCAAAATATCTAATAAATCACCAAAAAAATCTTAATGAGACTCTCCTAAAATAATCATTGGATGCATGACTACAACTGATTAACTTTTACAGTTGACCCAATGTAAACTGGCTGCCACAGTGAATTAACTTTAGCAAACACAAAAATGGTAATAAATCCTTCGGTTTTACAAATATTGAGTTAAAGTTTGATGTTGTAGTAGCTGAGTCATCCACGACATAGACTACCAAAATGACTCATCCTTTCTCAACATGTGTTTGTTTTAATTTCTGGCAGAATAGGTGATGACACGCTGTATTTAAATTTATTCTAGCATTATGATTTTATTTTAGACACTAGTTTGAATTCAAGACTTTTTATCAGCAGGAGTGTTGAGTCAAACATCTGAAAAATCTCACTGCTGCAGGGAAAATATGTCTGAGTAAATGTCCTGATTGTTTCATTGACTTTTTAAAAAACTTGTCCGTTTTAAATATTTCAATGCAAAGCTAGCGCTAATGTTTGTCATTGAACTAAATGTCTGTAAGCATGGGTTTGCATTGTCTTGAAGGGATAGCTCAGATCTTTTAAAGTTGTCCTGTCAAAGATAAACTATTTATAGAAATTAAAGGCATTCAAAGTGATTTATACAAAATATAAAACCTCTCAGAGGCAGATTTTATAGATTCTTGTGAGTAGCTTGCTATGGAGCCCACAAGGGGACATGGGGGGGATTTTTTTTCTGTTGTGTTCCCACACAATGCTATTGCGTTACCTCACAATACTGTTGCATTACCTCACAATATATTTGCGTTACCTCGCAATACTTTTGCGATACCTCGCAAATGGTTTTTTATATGAACTGAAATAAATCAGACTTTTATTTTGAAATATCCGGTTACCAAAACAGGATGTGCCGCCACAAGTTTGTGAAATTGGCATTGATGTTGAGTGGCTGCACTGTGTTAAAGGGGCAATATTATGTGTTTCTCAGCTGTACTGTACATTTAAATACTATACCATAATAAATTATCTATGTCACCATTGGCTGTTATTAAAATGCTGTTTTTATGTTTAAATAGAAAATAAACTTATCTTCTCATCACTTCCTCTTCTAAACGCCTTGAAATTGGCCTGTGTCTCTTGAACCACCTTCCGCTTATGTCCCATCCCGTTCGTTGCGGGGGAGTGGGGGGGTTCGTGCGCGGGGGTGGGGTTCGCGCGTGCGCTCTGATGCAGTTTACTTGGCATCTGAAAATGCATTTCCTCAAAGGTATTTTGAATCTGAAAAGAGCTTCACTGAGTGAGCAGTAGTGTTGAGAGCTGCAGACAGTTTAAGTTTCACTTTCAGTTTGCTCTGTTACTGCCTGCAGGAGTCATGGACGGGGTGTTTGGGGTGGGAAGTGGGGAGTTGTGCTCAGTGCTGAGGAAGTTCGGCTTAAAGACACGTCCAGGGGGCGTTTCTGGTCCCCACCTGTTGTTTTGCTCCTCAGCATGGCTGCCTAAAAACACTGCAGGATTTCTCAAACACGCATGAATGAGTCAAAGCAAGGCTTTGGTCATGTTTTTTTATGAGATTATAACATTATAACATGATATAAAACTCAAAAAAGTTGATTTTACATGATATTGCCCATTTAAAATATCGGCATATGACATACTTCCATGCGTGGCTGTGTTATATATTCATTCTGAAGCTGAATTAAAGTAGCAGGCTAACTCACTAATGGTGAACATGTAAAAACCGGCAGGCGGCACAACAGTTATAAACAACTTTTGCAAGGGAACGCAAAAGGTATTGCGAGGTAACGCAATACTATTACATGGGAACACAAAAGAAAAAAATCTCAAATGTCCCATCGCGGGCTCCGTAGGTTTTAGCTGAGTTGAATTTCACCATTTAAAAAAAAAATCACATATGTTGGACTCACATCGATTTTGGAGGTTTTGGCAAAAGCTCCGACAGGATGAACGTGGTCGTAGAGGATGATGACACCCACCATCACCCTCATGCAGAACAGCATGGTGTCTGTGTTGGTGAACCGGCAGCGGTACTCCCTGAGACAGAGCCCAGCGTTCGGTGCAAAGAAGAGAAAACAGTGTGATCAGAGGTTACGGTGAGCAAGTGACAGAACCAATACAAACAATAACAACACAATTTTTTTTGCAACAATTCAGATAAAACGGTGAAAGAGTTTGTTGAAATTTGGAGAAGCAGCTGAAAGTGAGTTGTTCCCTAAAGAAGCAGAACACTGACTAAAAGCTAAGAAATGAATCAAAATGCTTGCTGAAATCTACATGTAGCTCAAAGTTAGCTAAAAGCTAAAAGTAGAAAAAGGCTTTTTAACAAGACTCTGCACCAACATAAAGCTAAAGTTTCAAAAGTCTAGCTGACAGATGAAAGTAACAAAAAGCTAACTAAAAGCTAAATGTAGCCATACACTAGCTGAAAGTCTCAAAAGACTGGTTAAAAATGAAAAAAAAAAAAAGTTGATCTTATCTCCTAAAACAAAAGGACAAAGTAATAAAACCATGAAAAAAAGGGGAAGGAAATGCGAGAAAAGCCTTTTTCTTTGTCCGTGAAAGACCCGGGTGGAACATGGAGACGGGAAACGTCCAGTACTCACGGAGTCTCCAGCATGACACGACACACGCAGGCCATGGTGCTCAGGCAGTATGTGGTGTCCTCTATGGGCAGCGTTTTATTCTGGAGAAACACAAATTGTGAGACCATTTTAATATGTAAACCTTGATGGGTTGAAACGTTCTCTCACTAGGTGGAGACAAAACACCTCGGTGCAGCCGTTCCCCTAAAGAAGCAGCCTGTCTCCTACATTTGAGCTAAAACTGAAACCAAACTGTACCTCTGAAACAAACTTGGTGGTGGCGTTACTCAGAGTTTTCAGCATCGGTGTGGCTTCGGCGTAGAATAGAGACATCCGATTGGCCATCTCGTTGTTGACCTCGTTCTCTGCGTCCAGCTGCAGAGGTCAGCAGAAGATGACTTAGACCAGGAAGACCACACTGCTGCGGCCTGATTTATTCAAACGTCAACAGAAACGCTGACTGTGGATCTTTGTGTTGATAGAAAGACAGCAGCTCTCACTTTGGACACAATTGACTTTTAACAGTTTCTCCAGAAATGTACACTCTGGAATGAGGGTTGATCTCACCTGCTGATTGTTCAGCCTGTTCCTGCTTATAGTCCTCCTGTAGTAACTGAAGTCATTCTGAATGGCTGGATTTGTCATCTGAACATTCAGAGAAAAAGGAGAGTCATGGCTTAACAAGGCTGATCAATAATTCAATGGATTTCCCGTACGGTAAAGGTCAGCGTCTGCGGGTGGCGCAGAAGGGATTCCTGTCACCTTCAGTTCGTCGAAGCTGAGGGTAAAATGAAGGATCTCGGCGAACTGCTTGGCCAGGGCCTGCTCTCGCTCCAGGTGCTGCATGGGGGCGTAGGGCGGGCTCGTCAGCGCCTCCAGCAGGCTGCGCAGTGCGTTCTCTGCAAGGAGATCCACACTTCGGATATTAAATGACCAGACAGCGCTAGAGTCTGTGTCTGCTAAAGTTCATCTCCTGGAGTCCCTTTCATGTGCCTCACTTTAAACAAAACTGCTTTACAAGTTGGGCCTTTTGTTCTCTCAGTCCTGGTCCTCTTTTCTTTGGCACACCTGATTTAAATGAATGAGTGATCGGTAGTCTTCACACCCTAAAGACTTACTTATCAATAGGGCAACAACAAAAACATGCAGTATAGGGGTCCATGAGGACTAGGAGAACCACTGCTCTAGATCCGTGGTTTTTCAGCAGGTCTTCAGATTCTTCAGAAGCTTGTTAATCACTCATTCTTACAAATCAGGTGTGTCAAAGCAGAAACATCTGAAACATGCAGGAACTTGTTTCTCGAAGATCCAAGTAGGGGTCTCTGCAAAGCATAGGGGCCTTTTCTTGTTGTGTGGGCGGAGTTTGTCCTAGCCATGATTGGCAGAGATCCAGATGTGGGCGGAGTTTGTCCTAAACATTAATGGTGGAGTTGGTGTGTGGTCGGAGTTTGTCCTAACCATGTTTTTTAGAGTTTGGATAATAGATGGAGGTTGGATGTGAGCGGAACTTGTCAAAACCATGGATTGATTGAATTAACTGATCTTGTGGAGCAACTTAAAAGAATATGTAAGGGTAATAATAAAATTATTATGAACATGTAAATATCATTTATTGACTTCAAATTTCTTGTGACTAGCACCTTCCTGTCTCGAGTTATGACTAGTATTAAGTCATATTCATAAATAGCGGTCTTTTCACAGGCTAAGGCTGTTTTGACTGAGCTGAATAGTTACACATCCCTCTACATGTACTGCGTTTAAATTTTGTGAAGCTGGCACCTTCCTGTCTCGAGTTATGACTAAAATAAATATTTGGCTGTTTTGACCAAGCTAATCCCAGCTGCCCCCAGCTTCTTCAAATCTGACACAAAATAATCAGCCCAACCAATCAGGTCTTGAACAAACTCCTCCCACAAAAACTCTTACTTAGCGACTGCAGAGACTCCCTTCCTGATGGACCAGGGTTGGGAACCACTTCTCTAAATAATTACAACCCTTCAACAATACTGTCTCCCTCTCCTGACTCTCACCTGCTCACGATAAATGACAGTGTCATCTGCAAACAATGTGATAAGATAAGATAAGATAAGATAAAACTTGACTGATCCCACAGTGGGTAAATTTGCACATTACAGCAGCTCAAAACAGGAGAGGGTGAGATAGAATAAAGATAAGTAAAAGAAAAACAAAAAACACTGTACTCGTGATATATAACAATGTACATATACCTAGTACAGTAAATAAATGAATGTATATGAAGGTGTATATTAGTGATGGCAGTGTACGTGAATTGTCCAAGTGACTGATAACATCATGATGTGTTTATACAGTCTAACTGCAGTTGGAATAAATGACCTACGGAAACGTTCCGTCCTGCAGCGAGGATGTTTAAGTCTCTGACTGAAGGAGCTGCTCAGCCCCCCCACGGTTTCATGCAGAGGGTGGTGGAGGTTGTCCATGATGGCTGTCAGCTTTGCCAACATCCTCCTCTCACCCACCACAACCACAGGCTCCAGAGGACATCCCAGCACAGAGCTTGACCTCCGTACCAATTTGTCCATCCTGTTCCTGTCCCTTTCAGTACATCCAGCACCCCAGCAGACCACTCCATAGAAAAGGGCAGATGCTACCACCGTGTCATGGAATGTCTTTAACAGAGTCCTGCAGACACCAAAGGACCTCAGTTTCCTCAGTAGGTGGAGTCGACTCTGGCTCTTCTTATACAGGACGTCTGTGTTTGTTGTCCAGTCCAGCTTGTTGTTGAGGTGAACACCCAGGTACTTGTAAGAGTCCACTGTCTCAATGTCTTCTCCCTGGATGTTCACCGGTGCTGTAGGGGGTGACTTCCTCCTCAGGTCTATGACCATCTCCTTCGTCTTTCTTCCATTAACTTGGAGAGCGTTGGTCTCACACCAGCCAACAAAGTCACTGATGACCCCCCTGTATTCCTCATCATTCCCATCTGATATGCATCCAATGATGGCCGTATCATCCGAGAACTTCTGAAGGTGGCAGTGGTCCGAGTTGTACCTGAAGTCTGACGTGTACAGACTGAACAGAAAGGGTGAGATGACTGTGCCCTGTGGTGCCCCCGTGCTGCAGACTACCACTTCAGACATACAGTCACGGAGCCTCACATACTGTGGTCTGTTGGTGAGGTAGTCGAAGGTCCATGCTGTCAGCTGCYTGTCCACTCCGGCTCCCTCCAGCTTCCCTCTCAGCAGAGCAGGCTGGATAGTGTTGAAAGCAYTGGAGAAGTCAAAGAACATGACCCTCACAGTGTTTCCTGCTTGCTCTAGGTGAGAGAGACATCGGCGCTGCAGGTAGATGAGAGCGTCCTCCACCCTGATGCCAGGCTGGTAGGCGAACTGCAGGGAGTCCAGTGCTGGGCTCACTACAGGACGAAGATGGTGCAGGATGAGCCTCTCCATGGTCTTCATCAGATGAGAAGTCAGAGCCATAGGTCAGTAGTGGTTGGGCTCTCTGGGATGTGTGATCTTTGGCACTGGAACCACGCAGGAAGTCTTCCACAGATCAGGGACCCTCTCCAGACTCAGGCTCAAGTTGAAGATATGCAGGACCACCTGATAGAGCTGGTCTACGAGGACCTAATTTTATCAGTCAACCTGAAACTAAAGGACCCAGATAATGGTTCTGCTGCATCCACAAGCATTAACCGCATCTTTAACTTCAACAACGCTCACTGATGACCCGAGTATTCCTGTGGCAGTAGTGTCTGTTATATATCCTCTGTACCACACATGGCATTGAACCAAGCTTTTGTGCTGCCTGTAACCAGTCAGACAGGCTGTGTTGTAGAGATGCCTCAGCAGTAAAGCCTCCTGCAGCTCCGTCCCTTCCTCTGCATTAAAAATGCATGAGGGCCTTCTATAAATATAGCAGTCAAGTGTTTAATCTAAAGGGCCGGTGCAGAAACTCTAATCTCCCTCCTGCTGTTAGTGTGGAGCACATGGTTCCTGCCCTGTGTGCCGACTCCTGACACTTTGAAGTGGCAGATTAGGTGAAGAAATATTGCGGTTGTTTACTGTAAATGGGGACCTATCAACTCTTCACTGCCACCTTTTACCAAATGACTGTAGCAAAGGTGGGCCGTGCTGCAGAGAGGAGGAATGTTTTCCATTTTTACCTTCATTGTTTGATTTGTTTCTCTCCACCCCTGTGAGCTGTTTCTGCCGTCGATTATTAACAAGCCCACACTTTTTCCTCTAGCGAGCCGAGAACACGGTGTCCCTGAAATGGAGGTATCGCTGGAAGAGCAGAGGCGGAGGCTGAACTCCGTTTCACTCTCTGTGTGAGAACTGGACAGCCACGTGCCGCTGTTTCCGTAGCAACGGCTGCCTAGCTGCTGGGTCAGGATGCTGCGGAGAGGCTTGAGAGGACACAGGTGGCGCGCGAGGCGTTGATGCAGGGGCGGTTCTAGGGGCGGGGCCACAGGGGCACTGGCCCCATCTGAAATCTGATTGCCACCCTGAAGTGTCCCTGTCCTGTCACTCATCTGTCCTTTGCCCAAGAGTGGCTGCAGTTCCACTTACAAACAGAAGTGGCGCTAATGAGTCAAATAGGAAAGTCCAGCATGAAGCAAGCTTACACAAGTCTGTTTCAATTTGAACAATCCTGCAGAAAAAAGTATTTTAACTGACAACAACGGCTGGATTTTCTCACGTACTTTTGAGAGTATTTTATTTATGTACAGTAAAAATGTGTGTAAAATTGATAAGGAGAATTTACTGTTCAAGCTTTTACAAGTGTCTGAACACGTGTGGCTGATTAAATTTACACACCTTACAAGAACTGGGGATTTGTGTGCAAGCATGTTGAACACATACTTGACCCCTCTAAGAAAACTGTGGCCCCTTGATGGCCCCTTGATGGCCCCTTACACTGAAAAATCCTAGATCTGCCACTGTGTGGATGTGAGTTTAAGAATGCATGTTGGACCGTGTTCATCACAGAGCTCTAAATGTTGGATCACACTGGGCTGTGACCGGTGGGGACACAAAATTGTAAGAAATATCCACATCTGTGGGCTGTTTCCAATCTGCTCCGCCCCCTTTTCTAATCTAACTCTTTCCCCCAACAAATGTTTTTTTTTTAAAACAGCGGATTTTATTTTCCATTGTTTTGTCTCAGCCCCTGTCTGCAGCTTTGACTTCAGCGCTCACCCAGTCGTAGGGAGAACTCGTAGAACCTCTTCAGCTTGGCCACCAGGGGGCAGACTGCGTTCCAGGCCTTCTCCTGAAGAGCCAGGTCACCTGGGTTCTGGATGGCCTGCAGGAAAGTGACAGAGGCAGATGTTACTTAAACATTTTTTTAAAAAGTTTCCCTCGTCATCTCTCATCGTCAATGTCATGTTTTAAATCAGTTAAACTTTCTTTTTTTTTTTCATTTTTCTGCCTGTCAGGTTGTTTCCTAGTGAAACTGATGATTCAAATCTTTAAATCAAACAGGATACAGATGGAAACTAATGGAGACAGAAGGGGAAACAATCCTGCTTTAAATACAGGGAAAAGAAAAGAAAAAAACATGAAATAAGAGTAAAAAGTGATTTTCACTTCCTCACTCTAAAACTCTCTATACATAAAACCCCTTCTTGGTGCTCACTTCTCGTATGTCCTGCCCAGCGCCGTTATAGGACTGCAGCTCTGCCAGGATCCCGTGGGCCTCCTCCAGCACGGCGCTGACC